GCAACTTTCAACACAGGCTCTAGCAACTATACCAATGGCGCGTGAAATACGTAAGTTCGATTACTTGCTCTTACAGACAGTTTTCAAGAGCATACTTCCTATTTTAGAGGCTGGACTGGCACAAGCGTGACGTCAAATAACACCCGTTCTGCCGACTTCATCTACGTTTGATATCCCTGATGCTTATCAAGTAACATCAAAAAGTGAAAAATTTTTATTTTCTGACACATTGATTGGTCGAAGAAAACGGATGCTACTCTTCGGCAGTGTTACCCAACTGGAATTGTTATTTGATAGCCCCACTATTTTTATGGATTGAACGTTTAGTTCCACACCTCCATTCTTCGATCAGGTTTATACAATACACGCTATGAAATTCGGAACAAGTAATACGACCTTCACGTTCTGTACCATCATCATTATTCTTTTCTCCTTCTTTCTCAGGTTTTCCGTGTGTGTTTGGTCTTCTACCAGACCGTAAAAAGTCGATGTATCAACAATTATTCAAAGTATTACAAGATTTGGCCATTTCGATGAATCGTACATTTAAACCAAATCGTATATTGAGCGATTTTAAGCCAAGTCTAATTCTAGCCGTGGCCAGTGAAGTAATTACTCTACACCATCTTTATCGAGCTACATTTGTTCTTTCTTGAATTCAGTTTCCTCAGGCTGTACATAGTGGCTGCTTCTTTCATTATACACAAGCCATTTATCGACGTATACAAATTTTAGGCTTAACAGTAGCTTATTCACAGAATGGTGAAATTCGAATTTGTTGTCGTAAACTTATGGCATTAGCACTACTGCCATTGGATAAAGTCGAGTGGGCATTCCATGATTTACGTACAAAACCACCAGCAGCGGTGAAACAAACATTACATCAACTGTTTCTTTACTTTGAAAAACAATGGATGACCGATGTACCATTAGAAATTTGGAATGTTCATCGATACAATCATCGTACAAACAACAACTGTGAAGGTATGAGTGACCCTCGCCTTTTCCATCACTTTACTACCTATCATTTTAGATTTTCATAATCGACTAAATCAACGTATCCAAAAATCGCATCTGAATATTTGGAAGTTCATAAAATGTCTTCAAAGTGAAGAAAATCGATTTCGTCACGTTCTTCTTCAAATGAATGCTGGAGCTCAAGCAAGGCCTAAATCAGTAGCAACAAGTTCAATTCAAAAAAGAATCAACACATTCAATAATCGTTATAACAATGGTGAAATCAATGTCGATGAATTACTTGATGGCTTATCACTAATTGTAGCCAAACAAAAGAGATAAACATCAAACATTTATTATTAATATTGTCGCTGTTATTATTATTATTGTTTTTAACTTTTTCTTTAACTTCTTTTATTTTTAGTCTACTATGAACCTTGAATTACTAAATAAAAAATATCAGTCCAACTATTACAGACTGTCTCCTTGAATTTCTTCCAGCCTTCGACATTTTTTTTTCGACCTAAGTTACATTCGACCTAAATATCATTCGACATTTTTTTTTCGTCATTCTTTTTTTGCAGTATCGTTTTTCTATCAAAGTAACAGTCAACGTTTCTTTTTCGATCTTTTTCCGTTTGACGTTTTTTTTCGGTCTTTTTCTTTCGACACTTCTCCTTTCGACATATTTTCTTTCTACCAAATCAATACATACCAGGCTGTAGCTGTACTTTTGTCTTGACATACTGTCTGTTCTAATATTATGTACTTTTTTCTTTTCTTTCTCGTGCTTTCTTAGTGAAGGCGTCGCAAATGTTGAAGAATAAACGCAACACATCTAGGAGCCTACATACCTTCATATGCCACATTCAATTATTATTTGTAGAATAATCATATATTTGTGCTTTTTCGTTAATCTTTCATTTGTGACAAAAGTAAACCAAATTGCTTATTTAATGAATTCTGGGCCAATGGTAGTGTCAGATAGCAGTCAAAAACAGCTGTTTTAGCAGGGGATACTAATGAAGAAGATAGTCGTGCTACTCAATAGCTGAAACACATTCAAGGATTAAAATCAGAAACTTCTAGCTTAAACATTTTTAGTTTTTTGCATATGTCTCTTTCTTAAATGCTTTTTACAGACAATTTAAAACATTTTGTTGCAAGCGACATTTGTTGAGAATTCATTAAATAAGCAATTTGGTTTACTTTTGTCACAAATGAAAGATTAACGGAAAAAGCACAAATATATGATTATTCTACAAATAATAATTGAATGTGGCATATGAAGGTATGTAGGCTCCTAGATGTGTTGCGTTCATTCTTCAACAATTGCAACACCTTCACTATATTATTCAGTATATTATAAACGGTTTGTTACAACATCAAAAGGTGACTATAACGGGTGGAGCATATATAAGGTGCAGCTAATGCAAATTCAAGTAGATTTTATTTTTCAATTTGTCATACATATTCTGATTCGTCTTGTTCAGCTGGTCATGAATATCACCTTTAAAACCTTTAAAAGTCCCTTTTTCATGGAGAAAAAACCTGAAATACTGCAAAGATCGAAAAAATGACCTTTATCGTAGAAGTGACTTTTTTGAAGTTTTATTACAAGATGAGAGGTTGAAACTATTTTTTTGTGAATCAGCGTTGAAAACTGATTTAGAAAAAGGTCTTTAGTTCATTTTAAAGGTATGAAGAGCTTCACAAGTGTTGAATTCAGATCATACAGGTAATTTCAGTGCATTTGTAAACTGGAGATTTTCTGAAAAGATTAGACTCTAGACGAAACGAACCAAAATAGTCAGTATCTTCTTTAGAAAACAACAACAAATAATAAAATGTAATTTTCGTTATTCATCGCTACCAGATGAGTTTATTTTGATTTGAAAAAGTCTGATATTTTCGATACTGTACATTTCATTTTCGTAGAAAAGTTGGCACTTATTTCTTTGTATATATGGAGTTTTGTATCGAATATGTCTGCTCCTATTCCCAGAAAAATAGCAGTGAAATTATACGATAATCCTTTAGCTGCTGTTCTTCTTCAGACAGAGTAGCAGTGAGTAGTAGAAGTAGAAAAGTAGAAACAACGATGTCACTTGTTGACAGAAAAGAAAATTCATGTCACCACTTAATTAAAGTTCTACCGTTTTTCGAGGTATTAATTGTCTCTAACTATCGGAAGTCGCCTAACAAATGCATTTTCAGAACGATATTTGATTTATCGTAAATAAAAAATCTACAGCACTCAATCAAATTCGCTCAGATGTATCCTTGCACCCATATGTTTCTACTTCAAATAGCTTCAGATATTAGGAATAATAAGATTAAGGAGATTTCTGTCAGTCGGTTTTCTTTACCAGTTTGTAGAGAACAGTTTGAAATACATATCGCAAAATTTTCTCCATCCCAAGGCTGGTAGTTTTTGAGAAAATTTTTTTAAAGTTTTCCTCAAGTTTTTCCCCTATTTGTAGAAGCAACAATAAAATTTTCAGATTTCTAGTTATAACCTCGATTTCAAGCTCAGTCGATAGAGGACATCAAGTTCTATCTAATAGAAAAATTTCTTAATTTTCGATCAAGTTCTGATTGAGTTTGACCTACTCGATAGAGTTTTGCAGCAAAGAGTATTTTTAAAACGTAGATATTTTATAAATATATGATTCCGAATATGACGATGGGGGTTCCGATAGCCCCTCGAAGATCCTGTTTTTTGAAAAACCAGTTTTTCAGAAACTCTAAAAAATAACCAAAACTTGCGATAATGAGGCATGATTGTAGCCTGCAAATTTCCGATCAAAAAAGTTGTTCTTGTTAATTCTATCACTTTGCAAAGAAAGATCGTAGAGCTGGGAGAGATCTCATTTTGATCGGAAATTTGTGTGCTACAATCATGCCTCATTATAAGAGAATTTGGTTATTCTTTAGGGTTTCTGAAAAACAGGATCTTCGAAGGACTGTGGGAAATCCCCATGGTCATATTCAAAATCAGTATGGTTGATCACCTATAACCCGCTAGATGTCGATCAAAAAGCGCTTTATCACCTCGGGAGGTTCCTCCTTACGGCCTGTCGAAGCGTAACGGCATCAAAATTTTGACACACTAAATTACAGTTTTCTCGAAAACGAGAAGACTTAGCGAGCTAATTCTTTCACCATTCGAAGTGTTATCAAAAGCTGCATCTATGATAAAAAAACGGAATTTTTCTGTCACTAGCTCAATTAATTAGAACGATTTTTATAGAGCGTAACAGCGTCAAAAGAAAAGCTCCTAAATTTTTAGTCTTTCATATTAAACTGGCGATTCTTCTGAAGTTATTGGTACAATAACAGACTCGCTTTGGCAAATCTTGTAGAGTTTTTTTCGCGGGCTATCCAATGAAAAAAAGATTAGGCAGCTAGAATGACTTTTTCATTAATGAATGCAAAAAACGTAACGGCGTCAAACGTTTTTCTTTTCTGTACTATGTTGATTCACACCGATCTTAGGAACCGTTTGTGCTTTTTTTAGCTTTTCAACATAAATCTAAGTGGTTTGAAGTATTTTCATTTAGGGTTGTGTCGAAACTTTTAACGGTTCTTTCCTTGAATTCCGCCACGTCTTAAGCTATTAAGGTTTATTTCTGGAAATTATGAAGAGGCTCTTAGCCACTAGAATCGGTTAATGGATGATAACCAAAACTAGTGTTGATCTAGCTCGGGACGAAGACCCGGCCTCTAATCGAGCTAGGATTTTCCAAATTTCTCTGTTCTTCAAGCGGTTCAGCATATAAAATAGATTTTGGTTTTTTCTGGTATTTTTTTTTCGTTTTTTTGTTTTTTGCCTGATTACCTGATCTTTTTCTACCTAAAACACACTCACACGATAAAGCCTGAATAAAAAGAAAAAAATCTCACTCATACAAACAAAGACGCGACAGAACTATATTAAAAAATCTTTTGTCAGTTATATCTGATAATTCTCTTTCCAGAACCGCATAGGAACTTCTCTAGTGAAACTTTTTTTTCAAGCACATGAGCAACCACATACCTCAAGATTTGTCTCCATGCACATTTCTTATTCATGCAAAACGCTTGAAGCATGCGCCTGAGTGGAGTAATATCTAAAACAAGGTACATATCTCAAGTAGGTTAGTGCGATACCGAGACTGGTATCGCTCTCGGTAGAGGGATGGCAGAGTTCCTACAGTTCTAGAATTCTACCCTTATACAGCAGAATTGAATATGGATCCAGCAGAATTGAACAATGATGTCTATGTGCTTCTAAACATTCAATTCTATTATGATCGAAGTGCAATTCTATTTCAATTCTGCTTAACTTGATTAGTCTACTTACTTTTCCAACGATGAGAAAGAATTGAATGTTTAGAAATACGTAGACCGACCAAGTTAAGCAGAATTGAATCCTTGTCAGCAGAATTGAAATAGAATTGAACTTAGCTCCAGTAGAACTGAGGGGCGCAGCATGAGAGTGAGTGGGAGATAAAACATTTCGAATCGGAACCGAATATTTTTATACAGTACTCAGGTGGAAAATCCTGGGATATGATCGTATAATCCCTTTCCATATGTCTGTTCATCGCAACAGTCCGAGATGAGCAGAACTTTTGATGTTTTCCTAGTGACGGAAGGAGTACATGATCGCGCCAGTACTCAACCAAAGATGTTGTGAGCTTTCCAGAACTGCTGCAGGTGAAATTTCACCGTGATTAACAGAGAAACCAGTCAAAATACTTACCAATGCTTTAATTCTTGCTATACCTAGGTATGCATCGGTTCGGTTAACCGATGCTTCGGTTATAACCGAAGAGATTTCATAGTGTGCTCAGTTTTGCTTGGTTTCGGTTATTAACCCAAAACCAACCGTCGGTTATCACCGAAACCGAAGTAACCGATGTTCGATTATTTCGGTTTCGGTTAACTGATGGTCAGTTATTTCGGTTTCGGTTATAACCGATGGTCGGTTTTCGGTTAATAACCGAAACCGATGCATACCTCGTCATACCTGTATTGTTTTGCTCACTGTGGCTGATTGTTGTTTCTATTTTGCCGTTGTCCGCTATTGTTTACTTTTACTTAATTCAAAATCACCATCCTTATGTAACAAAACGAACAATGCTTAGCAAGTAGAATACACTGTAAAGTATATTCGCAAAACAGATCTTAGGGAGTGCAGAGAATGAATTGAGTGTCGATGCCATTAGTCTTCGAGTAATTAGTCACCCTCACCGATGTTATTATTCAAAGTTTCCCTTGTACTTTCCTTTCCAATTATGAAGAAGGAAAGGACAATCTAGAATTGAAATAAAATAGTAAATTTTTCCTCGAAATTTATGTTTTTTCCTGTTGCAGCGTTGTTATCGCCAAGTGATGACATAAAATAATTACATCACGCTTGTTCTTCTTCTCTTCACCTTTTCAACAATCATTTCAGAAAATGCTAGGTAGGATAGACACATTTTTTCTTTCTTTCTATCTTTGAATTCTTGTTTTGTTTCATGTTCTATCCAGCCGCTACTGTTCTCACAATCTTAATTATAATAACCTTGGTTGCATCGTGTATTGATAACAGTACAGCTACTACCAGCGCTGAATCACATTATTTTGCAATTCGCGATGGTGCTTTACGTGCCTTTGTGATGAAACTAACTCGTGGAGATAACAAACATAACAACCAACACAACAGTGACATCAATACTGTGGCAGCTGATTCAACCATAAAAGGTTGTTTCTTTTCTGGTTATGATTTTTCTTTTTTAAATCGTAATAATGGTAGCGATTATATTGGCACAGATGTGGGAGTTATTACTAATACATACAAAATGAATATCTGTGGCCCAGTAAATGATGGCGCATGTCAATATTCATGGAGAATTCCAACTTCTGTGTGTTATATTTGTACTCGGGGTAATCCTCATGTACTAGGTAGTGTCACTTTGATCGGTGCATTTGGTGCTGACGGTGCCGGAGTAGCGTGGAATTTTATTGATTCACTTAAACCGGAACTTGGTGTGACCATGACATATATCAATGGAAACAATCGAGACACATGCGAGCGTCCGAGTGCTCAGCAATGCTCACCAGCAACCGTTGTTGCTTTACAATGTGCTGATCAAACTGAACACACTTTCCGTGTCTCTGTTGATACCAATGCATGCGTCACTTACTTATACCTAAATATTAAATGCCCAAAATAAGCGACACAAGAGACAAACATGGGATGGAATAGCACATGTTTTTAAACTTTTATTCTCCACTTAATTTGCCTTTTTATTCCTGCTTGCATTAACAGCGTTCTGCTTCTAAGGCGTTCCAAATGCAGAAGTGAAGCAGAATTTGTTTCTCGTTGATTTACACATGGTTGGATAGAGCCCGCGGAGTAGATTCCTAATATGTTATTTTTAATTTTTTTAGAGCAAGTTTTGGATGAGAAAACTTGAAAATACAAGTCACTGCCTAAAAAACGAAAATTTGACGAGTATCGAGAAAACTGAGCATTTCGCTAGTTTACGTTTACTCTAGGTTGTTGAAAATATTTTATTCAGATTCAGCATCAGAAATTGAATTTGATTATGTAGCAGCGATCGAATTTGACCGCGTTTCTCTCGCTCGGCAACCCCATGAGCCAAGAGTTTGCCGAGAAAGCTTGACTGTTCAATCTATGAAGTAGTAGTTTTGTTCAAAAAAATAATGTCATTAGCACGACAATCGTGAACATCGATCACTCGTGGTATACCGCTTAGAGAAAAAACACGTTCGAATGGCGTGCTTGTCGCTGGAATACAGGGATACTTGCGTGCTATTTTTGCAATGTTAAGATATCAGTTCTTGCTTTCACGCCATCATACAAGCTCACATTTGTTGTCACGAATTTTGTGTTCGCTGAGATACGATGTATTCTCATTGGCAGAAACTGAAGGTTGTTTATTGACTATTTGTGGTAGAAGAGAAATTGTAGTTTGTGGTTGAAGCTGAGCCGTGGTGCCTGCTACTGAGATTCCGGACGTAATTTTGGAATATTCATCGCACAAGAAGTTTTTCGCTAATGTTCGAGCATTACCTGACTTCCATTTAATCAGTGTTTGAACTGCCACTCCTTTGTAAATAGACTGAGATTAGCGAACGAGAACTGTTTAAATTGGGGATCAAGAATGATTCCAAGCAAATAAAATTTGTTCTTCAGTCTCCTTCTGTTTTCAATACTGTCTCACCTACAGCACTCACTGTTTTTCAAAAAACACAGGTATCTGACTACGGTTTAAAAGAGTACAGCAAAATAATTACGTGTGATGATTCTTGGTCTTTAAATCGATTCAAGAAATCTTGGCTCACGAAGCAAATCGATAGTGCCGGTTCGTCTTCGTCAAAACATTGCAACATATAAAAGGTGCTGTTCCAGCGCGTTTCAACGTCTTGTATCCAATTGCGAGTGCTGAGACCGATGGATTGTTGAGCACCTCTGAGACTGTCCTTAGCTTTATAACTACGTCGAATGTGACAGACTGTTTTGGTTGATGTTTTGATTTGTGTTTTGATATCACGAACATCTGCGCCGACTTTTACTATTGTTTGTGTTAAATGTGCAAAGCAACCAAGCCAGCCCAGATTGAGATCTTTTTTGTGGTTCGATTGTGTAAAACAAAATTTTTGTCAAGAAATTGCGCTGTCACTGTGATAAAATTTAGTGTTGAATCTGATGCTCACATATCGCTTGTTATTGACAAATATTGTGCTCAATTCAACTCTAAATATTCAAAAAACTCATTAAAAAAATGTCTTTGATACGCTTGAAGGAGGAGATGAAGATGAATTATTGAATCACACTTTCAAGCTACCAACTCAAGTGTAAAATTGAATACTATTGCTTAATACTTACGTTGAGTTATAATACTGTAATGATAAAGCAATCAAACAATCTTTCATTTAAAGTCTTAAAATGGTTTTGGGCAAAAGCTTACTGCTCTCTAGTGCCTCTCCACTCAGCTCGCCGAAACCGGCACAATTATTTTTATCAATCAGTTCTGGTGAGTGGACACACGAGACTATTTACTGTCATTGAATATTCATTCAAGTTAAATTCTTTTGATATAAATCTAGCAAAATGTGTTTTTAGCTGTCTAAATTTTTTTAATATTAACTGACTAGTCGTAGTAGGACAGAATAAAACTGAATAAATGTTTTTAAATTAGTTTGTTGTGCATCCGCCACTGTAGCAATAATTGAATTTCCTTGGTTAACGGAAAGATTATTCGACGGAGTAAAGTCTCAAGTTCAGTGTTTAGATCTGATAGTCATCGGCTTTTTTGTTTATTACTGATTTGGCTGAAATCTCTTGTTATATTAGGTATTTTATTTAAAGTCTAAAGGATCATACTAGCAGAAGCAAACAATCATTTTAAAAAACAAGTTGATCGCTTTTGAACGACATGCTCGTGTTTGTTGGTCAAATGATCAATTGACGTTACATTTAGAAATATAATTTGGAAAACAATAACCACATATATCTTGTCCATCTAAATCTTTCGTTTGTCTTACACTAACCGTGCCAATTCTTCCCATTCCTAATAAACAAGTTCAAAAACCGAATTAAGAGAATAGTGCATAGCGCGATTGGCGACGTTATTTACCTGGCTGATGTATAGAATCATCGGAACAACATTTCCCACCACAATTGTGCACATGATATCTTCCTTCAGGTTTTCCAGTACAACAAGGTTGTTGTTTTCTAGGTTGTATTTGTACATCATCATATTCAGCATCCTCTAATCGTGTTGTTTCATAAAATGAACAACAAAAAGTATACAGATAGCTATTGCTACTAAAACTTGTTTTTAACTGCATGTTGAATCTGGAAAAGGTTTTCACTATCAGTACGAACGTAGTTGCATATCGAATATGATTCATCAGTAGTTTATATAGAGTGCACAAGAAGCCAAATCATTTCCATTAATTTCTTTTTCATCAAAAAGAATATATTTTTAATGCCACTGGCATGATTTTTTCAATTAAATTTGAAGCTAAAGGGCTGAAATTATTAACTGAAACCACACAAAGAATGACAAAAGACTGTCTATTCTAATTTTGAGCCATCAGATGCGTTTAAAACCATTAGATCGACAAAAATAATTTTCTGCTGGCAAAATTCAGGTTGAACCTAGCAAAACACTAGACATTTGGGCAGTTTGCAACGCTTTTGTTCCGGTGGGTCTTGATGAGTAACAAACTAATGATTTGTCTTACTAAACATATAACATTAGATGTTTTTCTATCCTACGCATCTAATTTTGCCTTCTATTAATAAAAAAAAATGTACAACTTTCCTCTCATACAATTTGGCCAAGTAACGGATCCCTTCTGGATCCGTTACATTTTTTTATGTCGAATTCGAACTAACGAATATATGTATGGTATAATCATACAGTATGCTTACATAATCGCCTTAACCCACTAGGCCAACGTGATATGTCATTCTGTTTCATAATTACATATGTCAGGTGATGAAACGCAACTAAGGACTCGTTCTGGTGCTAAAAAGACAGTCTATATGTTATTATGTGTAAAAAAAGTCATAACTCTTGAAGGAAAAAAGGTAGAAATCTGCGACATTCTCCATTTTGTAGCCATGACCCGATTGCACCTTTTCGTATATGGGAATTTTATAACCTCGGATGCTCAGATGGCCTACCACACATTTTCGTGACACCTGTCCTATGGACTATATTGACCGAAATTATGCTTACGCTTAAGTTTAAACATGACTCTTATGCATAATATTTGCCAAATGTCGTCTTTTCAATACAGACTTTTTCCGAGAAAAATTTTGTTTTATGCATGCACCGTCCTTACCTTTTTGGGTTAGAGAGCGCTAAAGTACAATCCTTCTACATGGGTATTTGTACTTCATACATTTTTTCATGTTGGGACAGGTAGAGTACTGGACATAACATGAATTTTAAACTTCTCATCTTAGAACGTGTCAATTAGTGACCGTTCGGGACGGGTATAAGAATGCCCAGTACTTTTTTACGCAGAAACGGGATCGGATACGGTGCGTCTTTTGGTGCACGGATTTAAGCACTAGACTCCTTTCGTATTTTAGAACGGATCATGGTACAGGTCCTTTCTGGCGAGTAGCAGTATGCCCAGCACTCTTGCATCCTCACTCACATATAGGAGCGAGTCGAGTCGTGAGAGCATTTCCTTGTGTGTCACCAGCATAACCATAATTATCGTTTTGTTATATAAATATTACTGATTTCCATCGATGGAATTCACATAATGTTATTATTTTATATGCTAAAACCCTACCTGATCTGACGGTATAAGATAATAAGACGATGAATATTTATTTGTGTTGGATAAATCAGAATTTGTTGCATCATACGGTATACCAACACTAGCTGTATATGATAAAATGAATGGTACTTCGTTTGAATAGGCTGGACCAATAATTTTAAGTACACTTTTATTTGGCATTGTCTAACATGTTTTATTGAAGATACATAAATTATTGCTCTCGTTTAAATTTGTTTGATTTCTATATAATCGATGAAATAGCGATTTTCTAATTTAATACCATATTTTGTAGCTGATTTAAACATAGAACGACAATGTAATGACCACAAATTATATTCTGGAAATAAACTCAATTACTGAACATATTCTAATGAAGAATTTGACGATGGTTATTGGAGAAGTCGGACAAGTACAAGTACCGCAAGTAAAAGTATTATACTTGTACATTGAGACGAATACTTTTTCATTTATACTTAAGTACGAAGAACGGATTTTGTACTTTTATTTGAAATATGAAACAATTTACTTTTGTGTATTTAAAGTATGTTTCTGATTCCTTGAAATTATGGTAGTTACTCGCAATCCTAAAGTGATTATCATAAGTATAGACAATAAAGATACAGACTATGATAACACACACTTATGATAAACGCTTTAGCATTATGAGTAATACGCTAATTTTGATTATTTTTTTCAGTGGGAAGGAAAAGATTCTTTCGTCGTACAAATTAGAGTAACTCATGCTACAACTATCGACAGAAATTTCAGTGAAGATGGACACTCTGTTAAAGATGTTTTCTTTGTTCCATTTGAAGACAATTATCTGAATGAAGATCATCGCCGAGTTGCTCGTTAATTTTCAACGTTGACCTTGTAATTATGGACTACTACGGCACTATTTGATGCATTCGCCTTAACATCAGAGCCGATGAGCCACGGTAGTGATCACTTTACCGAGGTCTTTCGTAGTTAAAATTTATCAATAGTCCGTTTCGTTGTATATGAGTTTCGTTGATATCTGTGTCATAGAGTGTTATAAAGCATAAGAAGATTGATACATGAATCTTTATTTCAACAAAGAGAATAAAATCCTTTTCAGCGAAAATACAGTGAATTTCTAGACCTATGTTGGAGTAGGAATGCACAGTGAGTAATAGAATGTTTGATCCAATTAGGCTATACCCGGAACTTTTTTAGTTGAATAAAAATGATATAAAAAGATTCTCATAACCAATATCGGAATTTTCCTATAGAGCATTCGCTATTTTATTTGACCTGATTTGAATATAATTTAAGAAAATCGTGACTAGGTAGTTTCACTACCACTAGGATACATATATTATATTTATACATTTACACACACACAAACAATTTCTCTCATATGACCATAGGCCTACAGTCAACGGAATAAATAAAATGTGTTTAAAAACACGTTTGTTACGCTGTGATAAGGAAAGAAAGAAAAGGAAAAACTGCTTACATGTATTCGTGCGTCGACCACATCCACTTTTCGACATTTTTTCTTTACTCACTTCTTTGTCATTTTCACCTTTTAGCTCATTGTTTCGATAACCAACGAAAGTTGAATTTCTTACGGTAAACAGAATGAAATTTATGCGTTTTTTCTTAGTCGCTTTTTTTCTTTGTCACTAGAAGGAATGTCAGCGACGACTGATATAATAGTGAAGGTTTAGGTTTCTACAGTAAACCATTTTTGCTTGAACACCTGTTATTTTCTCACGTTTTTTTTAAAGTAACTGCTAAAATGATGAGCAATACCTCATTTTATTTGAAATTTTGTGCTCTTTCCAGTTATGTAAGTTAAAAGCCGTTTTGGTAAACTTAAGGTGTTTCTAGAAACTCCCAAAGGTTTTACAGAGATTCTTATAAGACTCCAAACTTTTGAGATCGGATTCGGATAGTCCACATTTGAA